ATGATAGGTGCCACAAACTCTCCAGTTAAGGGCAGGGCGTTTCATAGGCGAAACGCATACTTTTGACTACAACATATGAGACTTAAATAAGTCAAGTAGAAAAAATTTTAATGCGGGCAATAGAGGTGCATTTGGAAAAAACATGGGACCAAAGATGAAGAATGTAGTCAAATCCAAGGTTTGTAAAATCGGAATCCTACACAGGATCGAATTTAATTTCACATAATCGGATCGTAAGATCTACCAAAAACTCCCAAATTAACTAAATTAATTAATTTAAAGTTCATATACAGTTTTGTACACTTAAAAAATCAAATAAATAAATTATTTATTAACATATAGTATTTTTTGCCTATAGTTTGACAAGAAATAAAACAACGGATCCCAAAACGAAGAGAAAAGGTTCAGGCATCTTGTCTAATTAGAAATAAGAATACAACTCATCTTAACGGTTGATAGTAAAAACATTTAGTACACATATATATCTAATAGGTATAATTAAAAGCAACAATCAAATTAAGGGTTATGGGTAATCGCAGTTGTTTGCGTTGAGTGACTTCTTTTGCCAAAAATTCCTTGAGCTTTAAAAAACCAAAGACAATAGAGTATTAGAGATGGGAGATTGGCAAAATTTTGTGAAATTTTATTGAAATCTAGATGGGGAAAAAGTTTGGAATGGAGATTGGGAAGCACCAAAGAAGCTTTATATCTCTTCGTCCTTTGTGACTTTGTCTCTATTTGTTGTATTTATTTGTTCTTGAATCCTTTTTTGTTGTACCTTTTGTTTTTTAGACAAAAATTGTTGCAAAATTATAATTAAATGATCTAATTCTTTAATAAGTTATAAACCTAATCAAAATGTTTCCATTTAGTTTCAAAATTTAGCACCACATTTACAAAATTCTCAAAATTCGTAGGATCACAATGGGATCGTAGGATCATACGATCCCACGAACGATTCTAATGATCCTATACATATTAAGGCAATTTTTGATTCTATGCACGATCCGGATCGATTTTGCTGATCCGGATCGCGATTTTGACAACCATGGTCAAACCCATGGCCATCAAAATGACCCAAACAAAAAGAATAATCATCAAGGACAGGACTGTCGGAAAAAGAAAAAGGTTAAATAAAATAGATTATCAGCATATCAATGACAACCAGATGCTTGCAGTGCCTTTAGTTTAGTTCCTACATAGTTACAAATAGAAGGATATTCCACCCTCAATAACTCTAAGTCAAAACTAACGGAATTTCTGATGTAACAAAAGCAAGATTAACTAGCTGATTCGGTTATATTTTCATTTTTTTCCCCACTTCTCATTTTGGCCAAGCAGGATTCAGGAGATGAATGATCCAAATGTAGATACTTATCATTGTTTCCGTATTCTTTCTCTTTAGGAATACATGCACATCAGCACATCTACAAGATCAAACTCCAAAAACCATTAGGCTTTGAAATTGATTGTATGTTCACTTGCGAAGTATACAAGCTCCAAAAATGATGACAAGATTCCATTGATAGTAGTCATAATATCCCTTCACTTGCAAAGGAAGTCTTGACATAGGGATCCCAGAATTTCTGTCTGTATTTGGCTTCTCAACTTCTTTTATGCAGCATTTTGAGAGATCATTTGCAACTTGTGCTGCATTCTTTGTTGAAAATTAAAGTATGAACAAATTTCTTTTTTGCAAAGGAAGTCTTGTGCTGCATTTTTCCCCCTGAAGATGTCCTTCTTTATGCTTCGTTTGCTGTCTAATCGCCTTCCCTTGGATGACGTGTTGACGAAACATGGGTTTCACCTTCCATCCAAGTGTTCATGTTGTCGGGTATCGAACATTGAATCCCTTCAACACTTGTTCTTGGAGGGGGATCTTGCAACTGCGGTGTGGCAGTTTTTTGGCTCGATATGTGGTTTGTCTTTGCATGCCAGCCATGTCCGGGTGTGTTTGAGTGGTTGGTGGCTTAAGCCGGTGAAGTCGGAGAGGCTTAGGTTTGTGTTTCAGATTTTATCTAGTCTCATCTGTTGGAATATTTGGAAGGCTAGGAACACAGCGGTGTTCTAGGGGGCTGTGCAATGTCCTACTCAGGTATGTCAGACCATCTTTCGGGAGTTTAAGGATGGTTTTTGGCTCAAATTTGGGGAGATACATTGGGCAGTTGATTGGCCTACGTTCTTGGAATTGGTGGAATGTCGGCCGATGCGTTTCTCATGCGTCAGATTTGGTGGTTCACTTTGTGGCCTGATGGGTCAAGCTCAATATTGATGGGTGCTCAAAAGGTAACCCAGGGGTGAGTGGAGGAGGGGGGATCCTTAGGAACTCTGCAGGCTATATGGTGTTGGCATTCTCGAGTTATTTTGAGAGCTGTACTAGCTTGCAAGCGGAAGCCAAAGCATTATTAATCGGGCTGTAGTTACGTGCGCAACGGGATTTCCTTGGTAGTTTGGTGGTGGAGACAGATTCTTTGGTGTTACATCGTACTATCCTAAAGTGTCACCAGTGTCCATGGTCCATCAGTGTGGAGGTGGTGAAGGCTAAGCTACTGGCTGGAGGGGGCTGTAAAATCACACACTATTACAGGGAAGCAAACAAGGTCGCCGACGCGTTGGCAAATGCTGGTTCTGCACATCCTCTGCATGGGGTTTGTGTATATGAAAATATTGCGGAATTGCTCAAAATGGCTAGGGTGAATACCGTTTGGATAAGCTTAGGTTTCCTTCCTTTCGCAGGTTTAGGGTCACAGGTGTTCTTCCCAACATGTAATACATCACACGCTTGTACTACTTTTTCTGTCTAATAAAAATTGATTTTAAGTTTAAAAAAAAAAGATGTAGGGCAATCAAAGAAGTAACGTGAAGGAACTATTCAGTGAGGGGTCAAGTGGAGTTTTAAAGACTCTATGGACTAAAGGATTGCAAGTATACACTTTTAAAACCTCAGGGAGGCAAAGAGATTCACATAATAGTTCAAGGTCTAAAAATATCAAAATCTATAATTCACAAAGCCATGCAAAATTTTTCCCTAGAGGGAATGGGAAAGAAATGAAAAGGAGGGAAAAACTACATAAATATCACTTACCAAGAGTTCGTGTTTATGAGTTTGGATAACTTCTAAATCTAACTTTTAAGGAAAAAGTAAAATTTATTGGCACTTTATTTCACAAGTTGTGTGTTTTTCCTAATCCATTCCATACTTGTTTAATTTCTAGTCTATGCCGTTCACCTATTTCATTTCATAAACATTTAGAACACACATTATTTTAATAAGTACATGCTTACTTTATGATTTAGCGAAGAAACTGAAAATTGCAGTAGTAAGAGCTGGAAACAAGTCATCCTTGCAGTTATTTGTTCATAAGAAAAGATCCGTTATATATTTTTATTCTCCCACATTTTAAAGTCAGCAAACCAAGGAAACTTTTTGAAAACGACAAGCAAGCAGCATGCCAAAGCAAATGATAATTCAAATAGCAGTGCAAGTAGCCCACTGTACGAATTGTCAGTTCACATTGACAAGTTGCAATTTTATAAAGTTATCGAGAGAATCCAATGAATGGGGACCGCAATCACTCTTCGGAAAAACTTTTAAAATTTTGTACTACTTGTATTAAAAAAACGATTAAAAAATTTTGCAGTGTAAAGTATAAATTTTAGGATGCTTATAGCCATTCTAATAATGAAGGAATTTTTTCTTTTTGCTTTTTTCTCTACGCCCTTGATTAATATGAAGTTGATTCAAAGGAAGGATTGAGTTGATTGATAAGATATAAGGGATTGTAAATTGGAGATTTTGAATTCAAAACCTTTCATTTATACAAAAAAAATGTCAACCTAATTCTGATGTTGAGTTACAAAATAATCAGCTAGTTATTTACTGATTCGTAAATATGCATACTACAATTTGACACATACATTCTGTTTTGATATACATCACACATCAATTTAATTGTTGTTAGTAGATTAGAACACAAACAAGTTTGGTTAAAATTTCAGCACAAACAACTTTAGTTAGGAACCATGTCTCCACTCGCATGTTTCTACCCTTGCCTAGGCCAGGTAGACTTTAAGCATTTCAATTGGTAGATGATACGAGCACCAAAATGATGCATCCAAAATAATTCCCATGTATATAATATATATTATATACATAATTATATATGTATATAATTATTTTTTAATTTTTTTAATGGGTGGTTGGACAGGCCCCATTTCCAAATGGAATCAGATTTGGGTTTTATCCAAAACCCTCCAAGTTACTAGGGAATTGATGAATTCTAACTTTTTAGATATGATTTCAAAATCCTGATTTCGATAGAGTAATCCAAATAATAATTATGAGATTTATTCCAATTTTCTATTCTGAAATCCAAACGCCACTTAAATGTACCAACTGCATAGATTTCAGTCAAGGAGTGTATATGACAAAAAAAATAAGTCAAAACAGGAATAATTCATCACGTGACCCAATTTTGTCGGCAATAATCTTCTTAGTATTTTCAGTAATAAGCGCTTTTGAAGTCAGAGTAACCAATAATCTTCCAAATTTGAAAGGTGAACTCTATTTCGTTATCTGAAAACTAGAATAAAATTTGGGTCGACTTTTTGGACAGTAAGTAGAAATGGATTACTTAAGCTTGGTTTAAGGGCTTTAAACTTTTTAGTATGTGTAGCAAGCCGCATTTACAATGCTGCAAAACTTGGAATTACACTGGAAAGATTTCTTCATAATCGTGGAGAAAAAAGCACAATGTCAAAATTGGAAAATCCTTAAGCATACAAGTATGAGCACAAGGTACCACTCTATTTGGGATATGGATTGCAATCTACAACTTGTTTGTGTATGAAAAATCATGAAAATCACCAACGTTAAACTTTTGTGGTAAACAACAACCCAATGCTTCACGCATTTATTCATTTCCAACGACAAACTAAAGCAAAAACAAGCTAATAGAAATTTCAAAGCACAGAGGCTTATACAAGTTTACCATTTGGCTCTACACTAGCCTCTCTCCAGTACCAACCCAAAGAAGACCCGTTTTTGTTATCCAATGGCATGCTTCGCCTTTGCCAGGGGTGGCTTTAAGTATCTCAAATGCCGGATGATTTGTTGGCCATGATGAAGTGTCCATATGGCATATCGCAAGAACTGTATTAACTGGTACTTTTGTTTCAGGCTTAACAACATCAACTGCATAGAGTTGAGTTGAGGAGACCATGTGGCAAAAATAAGTCGCAAAAGGAAGATATACCTCGTGACATGACACAACCCTTTTTGCATTAAGCTGTTTAATATTTCCAATCGTAAGCATTTCACCAGAGCCCTTTGTGCTTTTGGAAGTAAGTGCAACCAGCTTTTTAGTACCTAAAGTAGTTTTTGAGAATTCAATCATGTCTTCTAAGGATTTTGGGCAACTTTGATCTCTCCTTTCAAAGCTACAGCATTGCAATAAAGAAGAGTGGTTTCAATGTTGCCTTTTGTATTGGGGTTAATAAAAGATTGAGGAAAAATCTTTTGCAAATTATTTTCTACTAGAGAAATTTTGGATGCAATTTGAGAAGGAAGAAATGCACGTTGAGGAAATTGATCTCCCAAATTCGAAAGGTGGACTCTATTTCCTTGTCTAAGAACTGACATTCTGAAAAAGGAAAAAGGGTCGACTTTTTGGACAAAGAAAGATGGGTCGTTTATGTATCCATAAGCTCGACTTAACGGTTTTATGCTGTCTAGTTCTGAGTAACAAGCCAGATTGGCAAGACTGCAAAACTTGGAATTTGACTGGAAAGATTGCTTGGATACTAGTGACGTGAAAAACTCACTATCATCTTCATTGAGGGGAGATAATTTAGACAAGATAGCTGGAGGCATGTTGTTTTTAACATTCAGAGACCAATACTTGAGTTGATTTGAGGCTGTAAATGAAACTGAAGGTGCAGGAGTGCCCTTGCCAATAGTAATAAATGCAGGAAGCATGAAGGCAATGACAAAGAGAACAGTAGCAAAGCTTAGCTTAGACATTATTGTTTCTCTATCTGGAGATTAGGCACAGTCTGTTAGTTGGGTGCAGGGCACTAAAGGGGTGAGGAATATGGCTTGTGCATGTCATGTAGTTATAGTTGAGCATAGATTCGTTTTTCCTTCATTATCTAGATTAATAATTTGTGATGTACGTGCTCCAAGTAGTAACAATAACTATTAAATTCCTGGTATTAAGTGGTTTTCAGAAATAATACTAGAATATTTGAAGGATAACATCAAGTTGGTTATTGATCTTGACCCAAAGACTCGAGAATTGCAATGTCTACAATCGACATCATTGCAAAGGGAGATAGCGAATGATGTTGGTACAGGTTGGTGGTTTTTTTAAAGTTTATTCATGTCCTCGTGTGGTTAGCGTTCATAACTAAGCAAGTCAATTTCAAGGTTTGGACTCAATTTCAAGGTAAAGTAAGTACAGCTCCTTGGTATGCATCTAGATGTGTAGATGCACTGTCTTAATTCTGCCCAGTGAGATGTACTGACCTGTATAAACAAGTACTACAATAGCGTCCTAAATTATGGGTCATATTTTGGTAAGTTTGATTATCCAAGTTTTAGAATTAGATGTCTAGTATAGTTCACTTTTGTGTGCATTGCTCATTCCATTTCATAACCAATTGGAGCATATTATTTTGTTTTTGGTAGAGGCAAATATTCTTTATTGTAAGTTCAGCTTATTTGGATTATTTAGAGATGAAAATAAAGCCAAAAAATGGAGAATTGATAAACCCAAAAACCCATACTTAGAAAGAATGGATTCATTGAATTATTGACGGATCCAGGATTTTAGTTTGGGAAAGGGCCAGAAAGTTCAGTAAACGATGGTAAAGAATAAGATTCTTTTAATAATAAAGAACAAGTATGAAGCAAAATGTGACAATTAAACTATATACTATTCTATTTATTATCAATGCCAGCCATTCAAAACTATATCCTCGAAAATTCTTGATTTTGTATGATAGTTAATTTTTCTTTTATATTTATTTGATTTCCCATTACATATATAGTGTGCTCCCTTAGTTACTATATTAAAGATGTAATAATCAAGGAAACTAAAAGCTGGATTGTTATGCATCACTTTTTTTTTTGGCTGAACCACTGTTAGATCAAACGAGTGCACTACGTACCCGTATGAATTTAAACCACTTAAAATGACAAGCCACATATTGTGACAAGTGGTGAACAATAAGGTTTGAATTCCATCCCACCAAACCTTAAAAGATAGCCAATAGCCCAAATGGCAATTGGTTGTTTGTTATACATCACTTGCTTAAAAGAAAAATTGATGTTTCCTTAATTGTTATTTAAAAGTAATACTAATTGTATACTAAAATTATATAAGTATTGGTATTCTTCTATAAGGAAACTAATTATTAGTTTAGTATAGGATACTTTTATAAAAAAAATTAAAGAAAATAAAAAAAAAAGAACCACTGAATAATATTTGAGGGCCAAGATGATACAACTATGGAGAACTCTAAGATTTCAGAAACTTTTAAGGCGGCTGCCCCTAACCCTGTGGTCTTTAACCAGCACGCCAATGGCCAAATGCATGTATTGATGCAAGTTGCCAAAATTTTCAGTTCACACTGAGCAGATGACATCAGAAGACAAGTGGCAATGCTTCTAAGTGGCGTCAAAGAAAGACTGGTTTCTCTTGGCACTTATCATGCCAAGAATACTGGAACAAGACAACTCCGTTTGGTAGAGACGGCGAATACAGACAAGCCTGATGGGCCTGCAGAGGGTAATGGGGAATTGCCATCAGTGTTGCTGCAAGAGGCAGCAGCGGTTGATGGAGCAAAGGGAGAAGTTACGGGGGCTATGGCTGGCAACGATGATCAAGGTCAATCACTAGGCGGTGCGTCTCACGGGCAGCGAGCAGGGATTGAGCAAGGGGACTAGGTGCGGCAGACCTCTGTTGCTACTCCAGTGGAGCAAGAGAGGAAGACAGAGGCGGACTGTGGGATGGTGGCAATCGAAGGTATTGAGGTGGTGCTGCGACATGAGGGAGGAGGGGAAGCTTTTGAGGCTGCGGAGAGTGGGTTGCCCGCGAGGGTGGTCGTGCGTTCTGCTGAGGGGGAAGTGGAAGACATACAGGACACTCAACGAAGAGTGGGTAACCTCTCCCCTAGGAGAGGAGATCGTGTCCGAAGGGAGGTGTCACCACTGGAGACGGGGCATATAGACACGGGGGCTGTTTCTGATACCCTGGAACAAGAAGAAGTGGTTCGTAAGGAGAGAATGGATGTAAGGTCGCGTGGTCTCCGGGCTGGCCTTCCGTTAGATAGAACACTACGCTCCATGGTTAGTTCTTCAACAAATTCTTTTTCTGTCCTTTCTGATGATTAAGTTACTTTTTTGGAATATAAGAAGGGTAGCTCGTGCTCCTAACTTAAGACGGTTAAGGAAACTTATTAAAGTGTACGATCTTCAATTGGTGATTGTTGTTGAACCTAAGTTGAGGGTGGAGTCGATCACTGATATTAGAATTAAATTGGGGATGGATTGTTGCATGTCCAATCATTGGGGTTCTATTGGGTTTTCTACCGGTTGTTGTTTACGTGTCAGACTGCCGGGGAGACTCCCCAACATTTAACTATTAGAGTGCAATCTCATCTTTTCCAAGACTCCATTATTCTGTCTTGTATACATGCGAAGTGTAGGGAACAGGAAAGGGAGGATTTGTGAAGTGCACTTTTGAAGGATAAACCTGCTTTGAACCCGTGGTTTTTGGTAGGAGATTTCAATGTGGTCACAAAGACCGAGGAGAAGAGGGGTGGTTTGCCATTTAGACAGTTTGAGGGGTTAGACTTTTTGAATTTCATGGCAGTGGCTAGAGTCAGTGATGCGGGATTCTCTGGGTCAAGGTATACCTGGTGTAATAATCGATCCGGAACAGCGCGCGATCTGGAAGCGTTTGGATTGATTACTTCTGTGTGGGTGCTCTTTGGAGCTTCCGTTCCAAGTCATGGTGCAACATTTAGGCCGTGACCCGTCGGATCATGCTCCTCTGTTGCTGTCGGTGGCTACTAGGCTAGACAACAAGCCCAAGCCGTTTCGTTTCTTAAACATCTGGACCACTCATCCTGGTTTACTGGGGTTATCAAGGATTGTTGGGCTCAGCCAGTCAATGGCTCTCCTTTGCAAGTATTGGCCTCGAGGTTGAGGAATGTTAAAAATACCCTTAAGCAATGGTCTAGGACGACATTCGGGATATTTTTGAGGGGGCCGTAATGCAGAGCGTGTGGTAGCCGAGGCTGAGACGGAGTACGACCTGGATCTTACAGAGCAACGACGGAGCGAGTTACATCATGCTCGGGCTCGGTTGAGACGTGCGCTTGTAGTTGAGGAAGGTTTTTGGAAACAAAAGGCGCGGGTTAAGTGGCTTTTGGACGGAGATAGGAACACCAAATACTTCCACTCTTTGGTTACGGAAAAGAGACGTAGGGTGGTGAGTCATCGAGTTAGGGGTGCCGCTGGAGAGTGGATCGAAGGGGAGTCCCAGATTGGGAAGGTAGCGGTGGGATTCTTTCAGGAGCTGTTCACGGCAGAGGGAGGCCTACCCTCCCATACTAGTCTGGAGGTAATACCGAAATTGGTAACGGAACAGGACAACTCATGGTTAACGGACGTTCCATCTCTTACAGAAGTTAAAAACATAGTCTTTGCTATGGATGGGGAGAGGAGCGGGTTTACAGGGAAATTCTTTACTTTTGCTTGGGAGGTGGTGGCATCGGATATATACCGAGCTATCATCAGTTTTTTCTGTGGGGCTGAGTTACCTAGGAGTATCACGGCTACCTTGATTGTGTTGTTGCCCAAGGTGGAGAATCCTCAAGATTTCACGCAGTTTCGGCCGATCAGTCTATGCAACTTTACTAACAAAATCATCTCCAAGCTGTTATCGACAAGGTTGGCGACGATATTACCCCAGATTATTTCTCCACAGTAAAGCGGGTTTGTCCAAGGGAGGCAGATTACAGATAATTTCTTGTTAGCTCAGGAGATAGTAGCGGATATCGGGAAATCAAATCGGGGTGGCAACGTGGTCATCAAGTTAGATATGATGAAGGCTTATGATCGAGTCTCATGGCCCTTTCTCCTATAGGTGATGCGGCATTTCGGGTTCAGTGAAACCTGGATAGACATGATCTGGCGCTTAATATCGAATGTGTGGTTCTTGGTATTGGTTAATGGTGTTCCACATGGCTTTTTCAGGTCGTCACGGGGTTTACCGCAAGGAGATCCCATTTCACCGACCTTATTCGTTATTGGAGTTGAGGTGTTGTCTCGAGCCCTCAATGCGCTACATACACAGAGAGGCTTTACCCCATTTAGAGTACCTCCTCGGTGTCCTATAGTTACGTATTTGGCATTCGCCGATGACGTGATTATCTTTTCAAGTGGGGGCAGGTGATCCCTACGATTGATCAAACGGGTTCTGCAGGATTATAGTGTGGCTTCAGGTCAGTAGCTCAACCCTCAGAAGAGTTGTTTCCTTACTCATCCACGGCTCCCTCTCAAAGGGTAGTGGTTGTTAGCCAGGTACTGGGTATAATAGATGGGCTTTTCCGATAAGGTACCTTGGTTGCCTCTTGTATGCTGGAAGGAGCAAGAAGGTTTACTATGCGGATACATCCAATGCAGTGGCGACCCGGATTCTATCTTGGAAGAACTAGATTTTGTCGCCAGGGGAGGTGGTGTTGATTCAGAGCGTGCTAGCCTCTATGCCAGTTCATTTGCTGGCAGCCGCGTCTTCTCCAAAGGGGCTGTTGGTGGCACTGGAGAAATTGTTTGCCAAGTTCTTATGGGGGTATTCTGATTCGGGGGCAAGTTCCATTGGATGCGTTGGGCAGATTTGTGACGGCCGAGGGATGAAGGAGGAGTGGGTCTGCAGGGGTTGAAGGAGGAGTGGGTCTGCAGGGGTTAAAGCAGGTCTACGACTCATTCTCCATTAAACTCTGGTGGAAATTTCG